ATAATAATATTACTTGTGTGTTATCATAAATGTGAGCCATCGCCAGCAGTATATTATATTTTTATAAACCAGTATAATAATATTATACTATGTAGTATAATAATATATTGTGTGACCAATCGAACGTATTGTACGGGAATGTTAATTAAACTTTTGTAACTGGAATTCTCGGCAGTCGTTTGCTATACAAATTATAATTGACCGTGTATTGATAACCCACCGAACAGTCGGTAAAGTGTCGAATCGTATAAACAACCTGGTCGATTGACCAGAGTGCATTTTTTTATCTATAAATATATATTGTATTATATAGATCAATCGTGTGATATTTGACTCCGTAATATTATAAACCTTTATTGGATTCTGAGTGAGAGTGTGTGTAATAAATAATAATTAGTTTAAGCGAGGGCAGGAATTAAAAGTCTACCTCGTCGTACGTTGGTAATACATATTATATTCTGTTATATTATATAGAAAACAAAAGTAATCGGATGGACTTCACGGTCACTCAAAGCCGGTGCCGCATATTATTATACATATATATTTTAACAGTGAAACACAAGCGCTGATTATGGACAGATCGTGATGATTTTTTTTGTTTTGTTCTATTGTGTCTACTGTCTAGTTAAAAAGATAAATTAATTTACACATATTATAGACCAACATCAAATAATAATAATTATCAATGAATCAAATATCAATCATGTCGTACTGATCTGATAGTCTTAATTATTAGTTCTGTCGTTGTCGTTGTATACGTGTAATTGAACACAATTTAAGTGCAATAATCACCAAGTAAAAAATGTTATTTGCTCATCACTGAACATTGGGTTAAAATGGACAGTTTCCGTTTTTAAAAGATAGCTAATGAAAATAACAAATAATAACCATAAATGTCAAAATTCGCTAACTATGTAAGATTGGTCATCGTAGTAGACGTTAGCGATAGCTTAACGCGCACATATGTGTTGAGTAAACACTTGATAAAAGTTGTGTTCTTCAAAAAAAAGTGCTAAAGACAATTTGTATTATGATGAGACAAAACAGAAAACTGTTTTATAATATGATAAACAAGTAATTTTCTCATTTATCATTTTCTTAAACCGTCCTACTTTTTTTTATAGTAACCATAAAAAATTATGAAATTGCATGAATAGAAAAAATACAAATCAATGAGACAAAACTGTATTTGGACATATATAAGTATTACGTATACAATATTAGTTTACATTATAATATAACCCTAGCATTTGTGGCTATATTATGCATCAAGAGATTAAACAATTGTTTGAATCATTCCCATTACCAGTGGTGTATTTTCAAGATTTTTCTAGGGGCTCCAAAATGTTGGCAAACCCGATCAAAACACAAACAATACAATCAAACAAACACTTGTACTTATTATCCGGGGGTCTTGGGGTCCATTACCTCTACCTCTCCGGGTAAATACGCCCCTGACCATCGCTATTTTTTTTAGCATAATCGTGTCCCCAGCCATCCGTGAATAATTATCGATGAGCCGTTTCTAGCTGACTCGACGACGGAACGCGATTTTCAATAATAATCGCCAACGGCCGTTGTATTATGTCAATATTCAAATGGTTTTTCGAATGTACACCTACACCGAGATTGTGCGCGTTTTCCCGGCGTTCGCCTTTGTGTTGTACATAAATTGTTGGTATTTTTTTCTTCTGCTTCTTCTTCTTTTAAGAAGAATTGTAAAGAAGAAAGCGAATCTCCGGGAGACTCGAAGGCGGGTTTAGAGGGTTTTCGGGGGTCGGGTACGCCTCGAGTCGCTTTTTGGCTTTTTTACGATCGGTCTTTGTCGGGAGAGAAAATAAAAATAAAGATGGTCATCTTTGTATGATTATTCGCGACACGGGACCAGGTGAAAATCGCAGGGTGTAGTCTCCGAGAGCCAACAACACACCACATACACCACCTGCGATCACCAGCAACCCCCCACTGCCGGACTTACCGTACGCACTGCGTTACCACCACCACCGCCGTCGCCGCCGGTATACCATTACCACGGTCGCGGGGCAGCGCACAGATGTCGGCGGCGGAGACGCGTGCCCGTCCACGACCGGCGGCACGATAGTCAGTTCCGTTCGGGAGCCGATCACGATCACTAGTCGCTCCTTAACCGCGTCTTGGCTGGTCGTCGTCGTCGTCGCCGCTTATCGATATAAGAAATTACCACACGAGAACACAGTCTTGTGTTTATTATATTTATTTAGTCGCAAAATACGGTGTATATACTTTTTTTTTGTGCGTGTGTTGTCGTTGTGTATGCAAACGTTGGTCCAGTTTGGTTATCGTTGTCCGACGGATTTGCCAATAGATTTTTTTTAAATGGGTGTGCTCGGCACGGTCAACAACGTGAACAGCATCAGCAGATCCGCGGTGACCGCCGCCGAACCGCCGTGCCAGTGTAGCGTAGATCATTTTTTAGCGCCACTAAAGTTCAAAATGAAGGGCCTGAAGAAAATCCGAAAGAAAATGGGACTAGGTACGTTTTTATATTTTGTATCCTATGTAATAAGTGTAAAAGTCGTCGGCAACAAGTGATAGTTTTTTTAAAAAAAACAAAAAACCTACGAAAAAATAGAAATCGCTGGAACTAGTGAATCTTATAGGTTCCTAATATTAGTTATCTAAACCAAATGTGGGTACGAGTGACATTTTTGTGAAACCCCGTTTGTAATTGTTTCGCCTATTTTTCGAAAGGCGAAAAAGAATAACCAACATAAGATTACAAAATTTATAGTAGAATTAATCATTTTCATTTTTCTCTCCTTTAAAATGTTATTAACCCTATTCGGATTATCGCCACCTCGGTTGTAAGTGTTCGATACTAATTTTATCCGACTGCAATTATTTGTACCCCTTTTGCTGCACGCGGTCGTTTAAATATTACAGTAATGCGTTTTGCATGAGTTCTGTCCCGGGGGAACGGTTCGATTGTGCAATCCGCGGTGTCGTTAATAAATAGAGCAGGAGGTGCTTTTGGGATTTCACTTTATATTCGCCCACGCTTTCCTCGACTTTTCGCCCTTGTCCCCCTCGGGTATTCCTGTCCCGGACGGCACCGGAGGACCTATAGGGATTAGCGACCGTGTTGCTGATCACGAAAATAACTGTGCAGATGGCGTACGTTCCCGCGAGGGTTGTTGCTGCTGCTGCTCCAGGGTCACCGAACCCCTTTTGCACATAGTAGGTATGCTATTATAATATATTGCTACATCGCCATTGGCTCACCGCAACGCGTTATACTACCGCCAAAAGAAAAAACCGTTATACGCGTCCCTCGCGCCCTTTATTTCGAACATGCCGACCAGGCGGCATTGCAAAAGATGTAATATTGTCTTTACTCGCTGGACCCAACAGAGAAATGCTGTTATTTTTTTGATTTTTCCCAAAAACTTTGACCGATTCGTCATCGCCGTTGTCGTCGAGTAGTAGTAGTAGTACTAGTATTTTTTATTATTATACAGTGACATTCATTCCGTTCTCACGGTTGTGTGTGTGTATGTGTGTGTTTTTTCGTAACCGCCTGTGCCTGATACGCATACAGAACACCGTCGACGTGATCCATTTAAATAAATATGTGTACAACGGTCGGCCGTATCCGCCGTCGCCTCGTATGTATGTCAAATCTTCTACCTACAACTATATATACATATAATATTATGCACTTGTGTATAAGCCTTTTCGGTGTGTATAAGTCCATTGATAAGGAGCCTACTGATGGGGGAGGGGGAGAGGAGGCGCGGCAAGTAGAACTTGACGGCGCAGCACGTTTGTTTTTTGATGAATTTGGCTCTAGAACAAATATATTTTTTTTAAATAATAAACTAAATTATCAAGGCGTTTTTCGCTATTGCTGTGCTCGCGTACGTACGTTGTTATAACGCTTGGGGGATTCGGACTTCCGGCGGACGCGTGGTGTGCAGCTGTCGGTCGTGATAGGCAAAGAGGAAGAAGAGGAGTTGTAGAAGAAGCGAGTGGGCGGACATGAAGGCGAGGGGAGTAGGTAAAACACCGGAAACCGTGCATAATAGCCCCAGTCGATTGTAATGTTTGAAATTTTCCTGTGCACAAGACCGCAAGTGCAACCGCTAGAGTATATAATAAGTACGCGGTTTTGTCTTTTCGCCAATGGGTTTTCATCAGCTGGTGTCCTAGTGCACAAGACAGACGTTGTATGTGGTAGTACGGTTTAGGCGATCCGTATTTAGACTTATTAACGTTTTACACGTGTTCACGTATCCGGACCGGGTTCGTCTACCGTATATAATAGTAATAATAAATTATTCACAACCCTTTTGTGGGTTCGCCGGATACGCGTTGACATACCGCACCTGGTAACCACGTTTATGCGAAATCACGACCGACCGCCATGTGCTGTCGAGGGTTTTTTTACTTGGCCTTAAAAAAAAAATTCTCCACTAAAGTACCTCTACTCGCGTCCTCGTATAACGGGCAAGGTCTTAGTTCGTCATCGTCGGGTCTTTTGGTGTATTGTTCCTGGGATTTTTTTTTTTTTATGACTTGTCACAATTGTCCTGTTGACGACTGCTCTTATACCTACCACCCCCGCGGCAACCTAACCGCTTTTCACGTGACGACGCTCATTGTCCGTCCCAAACCAACGAGTGGTTGGATGTAATAAAATAATTATTGTTTTTTATTTGACGGTCGCCGCCGCCGTGGGAAACGAGCCACCGTGACGCGTATGCCGAGCGATGAAAATATAATAATGGTTATAATAATTTCTTAAAGTATAAACTATAATGTAACGTAGTCGTCGATCCGTTTGTGTGCCAGGGTAGGAGGTAAATGGTTGTAATTGATAGCCGATATTATGCATTTGTCATAAATATGCGCTTTATGTGTGTATCGTGATCCAATTTCGGACTCGAGGGGGGGGGGAGGAGAAAAGTCGGATTCGACCGAGTTTTCCGTTGCTAATGACAAGTTTGTTTGGTCGGTTACAGCTCCGAAATCGGGTGCGGGCGCGGTCAACCCTAACTTGCCGCCGCTGAGGTTCCACAACGTGCACGGCGACAACGTGCGGCTGTACAAAAACGGATTTGTCGCCAAACGAGTGGAGAGCTTCTGCAAGGGAGTGGCGTTCAGCTGTCGGCCCGTGTCTGTCAACGAGAAGGTCTACATCAAATTCCTGGAGATATCCGACAACTGGAGCGGAGTGTTGCGGTTCGGTTTCACCAGCGAGGACCCGCTCAACGTCAAAAAAGTGCCCAAGTACGCGTGTCCGGGTGAGTGTCTAGAAAACGTATATTATTATGTATTGAGAGATGGGCGAAAAGCGCGCATGGACTTATGAGAGAAAAGTCGTCGTAAATGTAAATTTATCGCCCACCTCGCTCAGGTCGCGCAAACCACAAAGACTAATTCGGTTTGATTTTGTGTTTTTTCTAGATTTGACCAGCAAGTCGGGATTCTGGGCGAAAGCGCTGAGCGAACGACATGCCGTCTCCGACGCAGTGCTGTTCTTCTACGTGGACGCCGGCGGAGACGTTCACTACGGTCTCAACGGCGAATCCAAAGGCGTGTTCATGCAAGGCATTGACACCAGGTCACCTTTGTGGGTGCTGTTGGACATCTACGGCAATTCCACCATCGTCGAGTTCCTCGACTGCCGCCCACAGCTGAACAACAACCGAAGGAGGTATGTGTCTTATCTGTCCGTCTCCGTCCGTCCGTCGACGTTTTTTAATTTCATTTCTCTCTCGCTGTTTAGTACCGATGAATTGGACATTACCTCGCAAATGGCCACCATGGCCGTTTCACCCGCGGCCGCGCCCAGGTCGTCCCAGACCGAACGCCTAGAACCTTTGGGTCTGGTGCGCAAAGGCCGGCACGTCATGATCAGCATGAAGGACGGCGTGCCTTGCGTCGGCACCAGACTGTCGACGGCGTTCTTCCAAGGGTACACGTTCACCAAACGGCCTCTGATCATCGGCGAAAAATATGTCGTTCAGGTAAACGTCACAATTAATTATCTCAGGGCGCGTTTTTTCAACGAACCCGGTGCCGGTTCCGATAAAAACTCTATTATCATCGACGGTATTATAATATATTATGTTTTTACAGATCACGAAAACTAGTCAACTGTACGTGGGAAGTCTGTCGTTCGGCGTCACTTGTTGCGACCCCAACAGCATCGGCATAGGCGAACTTCCCGACGACCCCAACCAGCTCGTGGACAGACCCGAATACTGGGTGATGAGCCGAAACGTGGCCGAGGACACCAAACCCGGTGACGTGCTGGTGTTTTCCGTCAACCACAACGGCGAGGTGTTGTGCAGCAAGAACGGCAGTGCCGACGCGGTGCTCATGTGCGTCGACCACTCTCAGACGTTGTGGGGTGTGTTCGACATTTACGGGACCACCACGCAAATAGTCGTGTCGAAAATTCCGTTGCCGCCGCCGTCGTCCAACATGACCGGTAAGTGATCAGCGCAGCGAGACCGACAGTTCCGGTACGCCGTTTTCTCCTGGTGTTTCTCGTCTAAGACGTTTTTCTCTCCGCCAACAGGTTGCATGCAAAACGCCATCGTGCATTCTTCGCCGCAACCGTCCACTTCTTACGAGCCGGTTCCGATGCCTCCGTCTCCGCCTCGACAACCGGCCGCCGCCACCATGTGCTACGCTCCGCCGCCGCCGACGGTCCGTTCCAACATTCTGGAGGTGAACACCGACTCTCACGGCAGCACCGTGCTTATCGTCAACTTGCCGGCCGCCCAAGCCAGTCAGGTGTGTCATCCGTCGCCGGCCCTGTCGCAAGCGTCGTCCGTCCAGTCCGCGGCCAGACCGCCGTCCGTGACGATCCAACAAATACAGTCCAGGCCGGCGCCGCCTCCCCAACAAGTGCATCTGCCAGAGGTAAGCGTTAACAACCGTCAAACGTTTTTAAGTACTTGAATGTAGTGAGAACTAGTAAGGCACAATGTCCTACTAATTGTGACTTGTATAGAAAATTATTATTTTATCTTCGGCTTTACCGGTTGTGTACGGTTTTCACTTGTTTTTTGTTTGTTTGAAAACCACTCTTTTCTCAACTCTCACTGTTCAGAGGGTCCATTTAATCTAATTGGTTTTGCTAATGATAATTTTTTTTTTTTTTGTAGCAATTACCTTCGGGCGAAGGAGAATGCTCGATATGTTTCGAAAGAGCCGTCGACTGCGCTTTGTACACTTGCGGTCATCTGTGCATGTGTTACGAATGCGCTAAGAAACAATGGGTTCGGCTTGGACGTTGTCCCATTTGCCGGGCAGTCATTAAGGACGTAATTAAAATCTACAAGTAAACCCGACAACATCCATAGACCTTCTTCGCTACTGTTTGTTTTTTTTTCTAATTAGTACATTTTTTTTTTTTTTTTTTTTATATTGATATCATTATTATTGTAAACGAATGTCGAAGACAAAATTAACAGCGCCAGTCTTTTTTTATTATTATTAATTATAATATTATATAGCGTTTTGTTAACTGGTTTTTTTTTTTTTTCTATTATGTCGAATTTACTTAAAAAAATAAAACTAGCTTCTTTTGACTTTTTTTATTTTTACAGATGCGCACTCTGTGTAAAGATGCGCACTCTATACAACTAACTTGATTGATAAACAATGAAAAAACATGACTGATTTTTAATTCAAACATTTTTGTAAATTAATGTAAGCATTAATGAAAGACTGGCGTTTTATACTTCTATATGCAAATACATATATATATATATATTTTTTTTTTTGCAAATTTAATTAGTTTTATTATTATTATTATTATTATTATTGTTGTTGTTGTTATATTAGACGTACACATTATCGGTACAGTATAATTATGTATGATTAGTTTATAATTAATGTTATAGCAGAAACAAATGTATGACGAATGGTATTTCTGTACAATCGTTTTGATGTTATACTCATCGAGCTAGGCCGTTCTAGTCAATAGTCAGTTAGGGCTGGATTTTTAATTATGTTAACATAATGATAATATTATTTATCGCCGGTAGTCTGAGCCGCAATTGTTGTTGTCGGCGGCGTATGCGACACTTTCGTCGGGGTAGTTACGATATTTTTTTTCTAAGTCATATTTTAATGTAAATTTAGTCAATTCGAAAAATGCAATCGAGACTCTGCCGCCGGAGCGATCGGACAAAAAGTGTTTATTTTGTAAAACTTTTTTTTTTTTTTAATATTAATTAATAATATATATTTTGTTGTACCTATCACAAACGAATTTGTGCAATTGCGACGCGTACTACTATTTTGATGTATTAAGTTTGATAAAAAAAATAATAAATTAAATATTGTACTTTTTTATACTATTATAATGTTTACACTTTAATTGATGAACAAGCTAAATGCCGAATATAATGTATGATACAATTGTTGCCAAGAAATGAGTGTTTATTTATTTGTTTATCTATTTCACTTGAGCTTGAAAAATCCGGTTGGACTGATCAAAAGTTTATATGAAAAACTGAATGTAAAAAAACCACTTTCAAATAAACCGAATCGATACGAGTCTGTAAATAATAGTAATAGAAATATCGTCAAAAGCGTTGTAATGATAATAATGCATTTAAAATTGGTATTTTTGGTGAAAGGTAGATTGGCTACTTAATTCGATGGACCAGTATTATAAATTTATAGCAGCACTTAGATATGTAAATTAGTGTACTTTTTCAAGTGTATGTCCTTGATCACTACATTGTCCATATGGTTGTTGCTTGGTAATAGCTCCATTACTTTTGTTTTATTATCATTCACAGTCATGGATTTTGCTTTGTCGATGCAAGTTCAGTGCAATAGTAGTCAGTGGAATTATCGTTAATTAATTTTAAAAAAATAACAACCTGTTGGATATTATGTATACATTTTTTTTTTAGATAATTATAAATTTTCTTTGGTGCAAAACTTTAGATTGCAAAATCTATTTTATAAAAACATAAATAATTTTATAGACAATAAATGGCGTTATTCAATTTTCTGAGTTTTCCTCAACAAAAAAGCTTGACGATAAGTTTTTTTTTTAAATAGCGGTAATGCGTGTATTTGGGGCTTTAGTTAAGAAGAAGTTACCAACATAAAGATCTGGTCTTGGCAATTACAAATGCTTTAAAAGTGGCTACACACTGGATGCAGTTTAAAACGTAGTAGGTACATCCATGATCCATAATTGATAATGTAACTTATATAATGTTGGTAACCCAATTACCTAATTCACGTTATTTATTTATTTAATTTGTCAATATTATTATTGCTGAAGCCTCGTAATACCCAACTTGAACTATTAAACTTGAAACTCTGAAACATGGATTTTTCTAAAATTTATACACTCACAGGGAGGTCAGACGTTCGTTTAAGGGATTGAAAACTGACGGTTTTCAAAGAGTTTTACATAGGCATTATCCATGTCAATTAATTTTCAGGTTAATTTGTATAAGCTTCAAGGTAGTATTTTTGACTTGTAAAATTTTTTTTTTATTAGTAAAAGCCATTTTGGTGGTAAAACAATGCTTTTGCTGTGACAGAATTGTAAGACCGGTTGATCCAATATCAATTTACTGGGTTACGTTCAAAATCTATTTTTGTGTTAAAAATTCAGTTATTTTGTAATTAAATAAAATTCATGTTTTCTATAATAATAAAAAGCGACCAAAAAAAAACCACCGTTTCCAACACAACGTAGCTAAATGGCCAAAGAACTCGGTAAGTCCAATACCTCTCAGAATTGAAATCGGACCACCCTAAGCAGTCAGATTTTTGTCAGTCTTTTTGGTCTAAAATGTCAACAAAAAAAACCAGACTGCATTCAATTAATTCCCTTTATATGAATTTTTCGTTAAAACTAGTTCGATCGTAAAGAAATATTTTGAACGGTTTAAAAAAAAAAAAAGTCTTGTAATATTCTTCTAATATCTTGTAATATTGTAATCTTGTTTTGTTGTTAATATATACAAAATTACTAATTTTACAGAAAACTTTAAATTAATTGAGGGAAAATCACATTTTTTAAAATTTTAAATGATGAGTAACTAAGTAAAATTATTATTTGCCTACAATCTTCAATATCAACCAAAAGTATTTAGTACAAAATACTCAGATTAGAGAAATTAGCTCGGCTTAGAGAAATTTATGGAGGAGGCAACCCGGCAGTTTTTTTTCAAACCCACTAAAACTAAATTATTAAATTGTATTTTTCTTTCTTTATAACTCCGATAAATGCGACGGTTTCTAGCAAAAGTGAAGTCTTAACGAATAGCAATTTAACGTCCATATAAAAAAACATAAAATTGTGACTACAAACACTTTGGAATGCATTGTGAGTGTATTAGAAAAATTAACTTGCTCCATTCAGTGGCAAAAGATTTAATGTAAGCAATTGGAAGGCACAGGGGAAAACGGTAGTAGTCACATTATGAAAATTTGCTTTTTCAAATAGTTTTTTTTCAATTTATGTCAATAGATTGTTTTAATAAATACATTTATTATTAGAATAGCATTTAATGTGATTGTTTTTGTTCTTATGTAAAAGGGAGAGGAATTCACGAACTTTGTTTTTGCTATATTCTAAAATGTTCTAAGTGTCTACTATTACCGTTTTCCCCTGTGCTCTTTCAATTCGAAACTGGATCGTTTATATATGAAATGTGATAATTCACAATTTTTTGTGGAAATTACTTTTTTTTTATATAAATATATGCTGTGGCGAATCCTTACTTTTGAGAAGGATCGATTACTTTTGAAAGGTGTCTAACATTTACAACATAAGTTCCTAATAAAATATATCATTATATATCTTTGGTCCCGGGTAGAAAGGGCTTAAGTCAATTTTTCACAAAAAATGTTATTTCCGTAGATTTAAAGCTTGATTTTTGTTTTTGGTTCAATTGGTAAAATTGACTTGAGCCCTTTCTACGAAATACTATGTGAAAGCTTAACTTTTTTGACTAAACCTATAATTATCTTAAATAATTGATTCAACTCGAACGGCCGACTGATATAGATGGTATTATTACCTATGTCTCCGGGGGTAATCATTGCAAAATGGCTAGTCTTGAGATAGTTTTTCGGTTTGCTTCGTTGGTTTGGGCGGATGTACGTATCCTTTACACGTGGAAACTGGCGGCAAAAGGTGTGTAAATTTTGCAGGTGATTTTGGCGGGTTCGGTCGCCTTTTCAATGGCGCAGATTCTCACGGCCAAGAAGAAAAAGGGTTATTATTGTACAGCGTAGTAAGGTGTACGCACGACGCATTGTAAGTAGTGGATTTGCAACCCTAACCGGTGTGCGGATTTTGGCCAAAGGGTTAGGTCCAAATCGAATATGGAAAAACGTCGTGGCCCGGACAACAACAAGACACCTGCATGACATCTAAGTCATATCTAACCGGTGCACTTGTCAGAGTGCACTTGCCTCTTGTGACCCATATACACATACTATCTATAGTAGTACTCTGTATAGCGCCATTTATTTGGCGGTAAAAAGGTCGTTTCGGCAGATGCGAATCGTTTCGATATAGCCGACATTTTCCCACCAAAACGACCCGGTGGTTTTTATTCTTGGCGGGCATAACCCCCAAAAAAAATATCCGGCTGCAAGAGTATTCTTCGGTATGTTTAAATTTTTCGCCGCCTAAGTACATTTTTTATCGATTTTTCGATACGATTTAAGAGGGGCAACGCCTATTTTTAAGGAGTAAAGTATAGGCAATTTTTCACAAAATCTTAATTTAAAGGTTAAACTGTGATGTGTAACTATTGGTTCAATAACTAGGACTCTATTTTGGTAGTTAATTTATTTTTCGGACTATCACAGCATCCTTGAAAGCGATTTAAAAATGTTTTTTCATCTCTACATGTTTAAGCAGACTGAAAATAACTCGCTTAATTTTGGTTTTAGAGTAAAAGCAACCATTATAAAATTAAAAGAGAACAGTATTTTGGAGGGCAAGACGTTGCGCTTTTTTCATTATTCCAAGTATAACGCTCAATACATACCTAGTTTAGAAATAATGACTATTTTAACATTGTTAAATGACTGTAACTTTTCAAAAAAATAATTTTTTTAAAAAAACGCACCGTCTTGCCCTCAGGAATATTGTTCTCTTTTAATTTTATAATGGATGATTTTACTCTAAAACTAAAACTAATCGAGTTATTTTCTGTCTGCTTAAACATGTTTTTACCACTGAAAATCACCGGTGCGACGCCCTCTTAATCCATTTGCCCTGAATATTAATTTCCCCCCACCCCATGTATGCTAAAAAATAACACCCTCGAAGAAACCGGCTCGGTTTATTTGTATTATTGAAACTTGGATAAGATAAAATAATTTATTTTTACATTTTTCTAGATTTTAAATTATTTTAACGTTACAGAGATAATTTTTTTTGGTATATCTAATTATTGTGCGTATCGCGTAGAAAAACAGAATTTGTCATATTATTTTGCAGTCATTATTTCTATTACTATGGCAATGAACATGCAAATTAATGAACGGAAATATTATACAAAATAAGTTTCTAAAATTGAAAAAAAAAACGTATTTATCGTCCTTCGTAGACAGACAATGATAATGATTTACAAGTTTTATTGTATTTTAACTTACGTGTTCGACCAGTGCATACATCAATATATACAGTTTATTCATTTTTTATGGGATTATTTCAAGTGCAAACTAAATCAATCGGTGGGGTTCACTTAAAATGCATCTATTTTTCAACGCTACAAAAAATATTATGTATTTTGGATGTAAACTTGATTGATAAATGATAATATATTTTGATGATACATAGTAACGCATTTGCATGGCTCGTCCTCGAAATAGAAATTATGATTTCCGAATTTGATAGTGAAAACATATTACCCGGGCTCGTCATTAACCGTGAGGGCATTTATTCAAATTTCCTTGTATTCTTTTTTTTTTTTAAATATTATTATCATTATTATACACACATGCATTTTGTACGAATTTTCCGAATTGCCGGATGCTTGGAATGATTCAAGGACTGCCATGGATATATGTAGATAAACTGAATTGATGAAACGATAAAAAATAAACCGATATAAAAGCCATCAGCGATCAAGTAGACTTGTCAAAAGTTCAGCAAAGTCAACGTTGTACGGTACTCGACATTCTAAGTTTAGTTTACTTACATTACTTGTTCTTTCATTACACCGTATATTCGTCCATCATGATGGTCAACAAAGTGCTTTTGGCCGCCGTTTTTGTGTTGTTCGGTTCTCTGTTTTACAGCAAGGTAAATTTGATATATTTTTAATAATCGTTTTTTAGATTATAACATGTTATTCTTGTACTTACCTCTTTTTTTTTGTTGATGTAGATTTTTGTTTACCCATTCAACACGATTTATAATTTAAAATACTATTACTTATTAACCATTTCAAGTACCTAATTTGTAATTTTTAATTTATTTGATTTTTTATTAAGACTTCAAATAATACTTGAATTTAATATTTTTTTTTTGATCATATATAACACATAAAATCATAAACTATATAAAAATGTATACATGTATATTTAATAATGTCCATTTGTATAAGCCATTATACTTGATTAAAAAAAAGTGAGCTCAAATTTTAATTATTATTTAAATTAAAAAAAACTATATTTTATAAAACTATATTTTTAAAAATGTATATATATTAAATGTTATTTATTATTTAAATTTTTCATAATACAATATTCCGTAAAGTTATTTTATTGGATCTTTATTAAAATTATAAAATACTATATTTACTTTAAATTAATATTATAGGAATATTATTAAAATTTTAATTCTAATCTTAGGGTTAATTTATAAAGAGATTAACCCTAAAATATATATATAAAAAAAATTCAATATGCGTTAATGAAAATGTCTTATTATGAGCTGTTTACTACAGTGGAAATAGACTGATTTTAATTTTTATATCATACTCGTACATCTTTGAATAATATATAACTTTTTTAATATGTAAAACCTACTAAAAAATAAAGGAGTTTTTTATCGAACCGAAAATGTTTATTAAAACATTGTGTTTAATACTTTTTTAAATGTACACATTTCTCAATGTTTTTATTAATAATGTGTTTAATTTTTATCGACTAAAAATACTAAACTTAAACAAACAAAAAAATACATATCGCATAAAATAAAATCTAATAGTTTTAATGATAAGTATATACAATTTGTAATCTATAAACAATGGTAAAGTTTTAAAAAAAAGGCCAAAAATATTAAACAAATTTATATTTTTTTGCTAATCGGATTAAAAGCTTAAATAAAATAGATATTATATTAGAATGATTAAAAAAACATCCGAACCTTAAACTGATCTTGTTATGATTGTTATACATTAATATTTCCATTAATTAAATTATTAGTTTTTAAATGGGGGAGGGAAGTAAAGCTCGTTAAAAATAAATTCTTAAACTAACATATTTGAATAGCATTCATTTATATTGGTTGTGCGATCGAAACTATTTAAATAACACTAATTTAAAACAAAATATTATTATATCAAACTTTCTTTAAAGGCAATAGTTGTGGCACGTACCGCATTATAATTATTTAGATAATAAGCTATCTGAATAATGAGATGCTGTCATGGAAAATAATATATTACTTCTTAATATTGAATTAAATAAAATTCATTTCTTATTGTTACAGGTCGCCGGTGATGGCGACAGGGAAAAGGTAGCAAAATTATTAGCGACTAGCATTAAATGTTTCAACAAAGTCGACTTAGGTAATTCAGTCATTACTAAAATAATTTTTTCCTTGTCCTGGTTTTCCTAGGATGAACCATTTAAAATATGATAAAGGTCTTTTTTCGACTTTTGCAAATCACTAATCAAGTTATATTGTTTTTTAACAGACGTTTGCGCCGAAATGATGAAAGGCGAGTACGACTCCACTCAGCAAAAGTACAAGGATTGCAATGTGAGTATTAAAAATTGATTAGTTTTAGGTTTTAAAATTATAATAAAAGGAGGAAATTTCAACAATTGACACCAAAGAGCGGTGGAAACAAATATAGCAAAACACAAAATACGAGTTGTTGTACGAACATTTTTTTCTAAAATAGGAACTGTACAAAAGATGATAAAACAAGGTGGAATGAAAAAAAAAATGGTAAATTGAGAAAAATGCAATGTGTCTTGAAAATAGTTGTCATTGTCTTACTGTTATCTTCTTCTTCTTCCTCTGGCCTTTAATACTCTCTAAGAGTTTTGGCCGCCATCACAATATCCCTCCATTTCTCTCAATCCTGAACTAATTCTCTCCATTCCTGTACTCCCAATTTTTCAAGGTCTTCTTCCACAACATCCAGCCATCTTTTCCTGGGCCTCCCTCGAGGTCTTTTTCCCATTGGTTTCCAGTTTAGGACTGTTCTACTTATATCATCCTCGCTCTCCGCATCACGTGTCCTAGCCATTAAATCCTTTGCCCTCTAATAAAGCTGATGACTGATACAATTCCCAATTCGTCTTGCAGTTCTTTATTAAAATTTTTTCTCCGAGTTGCATTTTCGGTATCGTAAATTGGTCCACAAATTGTCCTCCAAATTCTGTTTTCAAAAGTCCTGAGCCTTCTTTCGGTTGTACTGGTGGTACTCCATGGTTCACAGCCATAGGTGAGCGTAGGCCTTATTATAGTCTAGCTTTGGTTTTCTTTGAGAACAATTTTGATTTTAAGAACTTACTTATGGCAAATGACGCTCTTTCAGCCTTTGTTATCCTGACTCCTATTTCCCTTGACCAATCATTTTTAGTACTCAATACAGCTCCTAAGTACCGAAATTCATAAACTTTTTCGAATTGTTACTGTTATCTTCTGACAAAATATAATATTAATTGTATTATTTATGTTTTTTCAGTGTGCTATGGCGTGTGTAGGAAAAGATTTGGGCTTTGTAAGTCGATATCAATGATATAATACTATGTTTAATGCCTCAAAGCTTGTGTTGAAGTTTTTAAAATTACATTTTTCGTTTGTAGATAGTCGACGGTAAACCGGTTCCAGAAAATTATCAAAAAATGGTGAGCGAAGTTCAAAACGCGACTATCAAAGCCGAATTGACCGACATCTATGAAAAGTGCCCGGACCGTAAGTATTGTTATTGATTTATACATGCTCAATTGAAAATTATTTATATACTTAAGCTCAGTACTTCGGACGCGCAGTACACGGATCAAGGTCGACTTTGAAATTGTTTAGGCATGTTCTTAATATCTCTGTATGACACTGTGCTACGCATGTAATAAAATACATACCTACCTACCTGCCATGTTTGTAAAATATCTGCAATCGCACTTTTGGAGGAAAACTCGAAAAATTAAATAACACGACTATACCTAGATAGTTTTTCTTTTGTTATAAAATTATTTGTATTTTTATCATACTCGGTTTCTACATTGAAGCTTTTGTCCGAAAGTCATTTAATCATACTCAAACAAATGGTTTAGTCAATCTCTCCCTCCAATATATAACTTACCTATAGTTGTACCATTTAATTACCGTTTTGCAGCCAAAGGAGACGACGAGTGTTCTCTTTCAGAAAACTTCATGACATGCGCTCTCAAAAGCTCGCCTAAGGTTTGTATTTGATCAGAAACGTTATTATTTTTTTTTTTATTACCCACACAACAGTTGGTTACACAGCTAACACTTGCGTACGACTTTTTTTTTCCAGCTTAAAGACCGTTTGACAGCTGTAATGAAAGCCATGTCGGTTGCCATGCACAAGAGTTAAAGGTTTACAAAATAAAATGCATCTTATCTGTTCAATTGTAGCCTAAAACCGAAATTAAATTTCGTTGTTATATCTTTACACTAGCATGAAAAAATACACTTGCATAATAAACGTTACCTAATATTGTTTAAATTAATTATCTTCGTCCTTCAACTAATCGCATACGGAAAGGGTTGCTTGGATGAAACAAGAACATCTGTATTTCGACAAGAGATAAGCATATAATATGTTTTATTAAAAAAATCTTTGGCATCATTTCTATGTATAAACCTAATTTACACTATCGACATTTTACGTTTAAATGTACATTTCAGAAACATTATTACTTTATAGTTTTTTTTTTTTTTACATGCAATTGAAAATTATAATAAATATATTATAGTGAATAGGGTATAAAAAAGACAATCATAATATAAACAAATGAGTTAGATGATTTTCTTTTCATCCAAGTAAACACAACTATTTTAATTTTTGATGAGTTTCAATATTGTAGCACTTTGATATTACACACAATCGATTAAAGTTATACAAAATCGTTACCTAATTACTTCCTTAAAAACATTACATTTACAATCAGTGGTTTACAAATTTCTACTCTCATCTGACTATATTTAATCAAAACATAACATTATGTAGTAAAGTTAGGTTAGGTATCGCCTAGAGGACAGTCATACAAGTGCTAAAATGATCGATACATATACGAGTAATTAATTTTAACATGGCCTTAATAAAAAAACTCTAATGACTTGAAATTTTTAAAATTTATTATTTTCAATTTAAAATAGAAACATTAGTTCAAATTATGATTCACATAAAAAAACAATTTAAAAAGTAAAATGAAATAGATTTTTTTTTTTAATGTTTAAAATAACATTTTATTTATAACAGTCTCTTAAAAATGCATTTAAAGCAAATATTATTTTAAATTTTAAATCAAGTTATATCAAACTATTATTACTTTAAACAAAAAATAAAAATGTATTTCATTTTTAATTTGTATTTGTTGTTTTTATTATGATATCACTTAAGTCCTCCAAGCGATTAAGCTACTGTCATTACAATTTTTTACAACCAAAATGTATTATCTATGTATAAGTTGTGACAATAATTTATCTATTAACATAATTAAAATTTTAAACAATTAACATTTTCAATACAAAACATGTAATAGTATTATCTGACAATGCTAAAATATTCTGAACGATAAGTGCTTTTAAACATGAAACAAAAAAATTAAATCAACTAATTTTTTCTTAATTATTTTAATAAGTTTTGACAAACAAAATACAAGTTAATCAATGTTTTTAAAGAAAAATGTGTTGAAGAGAGATGATTTGAGAGAGACAATATTAACCCAGTTAGACCTAAGTTACCGATTTAATCATAACCAAATAAGTTTGAATAAAGAAGTCTTATCAAGTTTTGAATAACAAAATAATAATTTCTAAAGACTAGATTTTGTACTTAAACACGTAAAAAATAATTATGAGCTTTATACATTTTTACAAGAATAATGTTGGTGGCAGTCTTAAATAATGAAATTAATAAATAAAAAGTCAAATCAAGAATAACAAATCATATTGTGTTGACACTTCGAACAAAATACTAGTAGGGCTTTGATTATATTAATACCAAGTTACATAGATATGAAGTATGAATACTCAAAACATAAGGCACATATTTTGCAAACATCCAAAATAAGGCAATTGTTTCATTTCAAGTCTGAAAACGATAGAAATAGAAATTTATCTATAGCAATCTTTTTACTTTTCAGTTTGAATTTTTTTTGAAACAATAAAACCGCTGCCTCTCGTACCATCACGTCAAACAAAAATTGTGTTCCCTAATAATACACAAAAAAAAAACAGTGACAAAAAGTAATATAACAATAGTCGTTGAAAATATTTGTTTGCTCACTGTAAATTGATGAGGAGGTATATTGAAAAAACTTTTGAGGGTAACGTACATTGAAACTTTTTGACCTGCATTGAACATTTTCTCGTACAAATTATAAGCGGTTTGTAAATATGTCTGGAAAAAATAAATTTACAGTATTTTTTTTGTGATGAGTTTGATATATTTACTTACAGGATCAGGGGGATTTTGTTTTAGTTTTATGAAATCGTGTTGATGTTTATCCAAGAACTTGGTTATTGATTTAACCGTAATACCCTTCATTAGGCGAACACTGTAATAAAATACACAACATTTGTACATTAATTATTTGTAGTACATATTAAAAATAAATATTATGTTAATCAATAATTTTACACGTCAACGAAACTTAGTTCTTCAATATTTTTCTTTCGTTTAGACTTGGTTTTGGGCAATCCTTCTGTAAAAAAACATATTATTTCGAAAACAACATTAGTAAGAAAGAAATATTGTGTCCTTAGTTCTATAAAAAATAATGGTTATAATTATTGACGTTACCAGCATTGGATGTATTGGGTGCATTGCTTTCATCTCTCTCAGGCGAGTGCAATATTATGTATTCTAAAAGTACATAAATATATATATACATTAAATTGTAATTTCACATTTAAAAAACAAATATATGTTAATTACACTGAATAATATTTTTTCTTGTATTTTTAAACAAATATAACAAACCTGCATAGTTGGGTGTGTTGCCATCATCGTCAATTTCACTTTCGATCAACGGTCCAACCCCTGAAAATTAAATAACCAATAGATTAAATTGACGAATAAATTCGGATAACTAAATATTATACAAATATTTTCATCGACAAAATAAACTTAGTTTTGCAAGAAAAAGTAGGTTGATATCTACTATAAATCCTTGGCAAATATAATAGATTTAAAAAAATATCTTAAGTATTTAGAATCATAATTAATACTTATAAATTGAATAGACAAATCTGATTTCTTACCGTATGATAATCGTTTTCTTTTGTCGAGAGATTTGCGTTTTGGCGTCCGTATAATATATTCTATAAAACATAAGTAGCATACAATTATTTCAAACAATTCCAATAAAATAACAAATTAAAAAGTGATTATGTAAAATGAAATATTTAAATAATTATATTTTTTTTAATGAAATATTATAATTTTATACCTGAGTACCGAACTTCGTGTTGATCTACTTCTGGAACGATATCCCAAAAATTATTTGATGAACAAGGACTACCTTTTTTCATAATAGTTCAATTCATAAGGTACCACCAAAACACCTAAACAGCAAAGCAAAAGGTATATTTAAATATGTTTTGTAATAGCATTTTTTTTTAACATTATAAGTTTATGCATATTTTTTAATATTTATGTTGTTTACTGATAATTTTGTTAAATATACAAAGTCTATTGAGAAATACTCATAGAAAATATTTGTCCAATGCAAATAATAGACAATTAAAGCCTAACAAGTAACATATCAGCGATGTGGACAGATATTTTTGCGTCTGGAAATTTGAATATACTTGTTCAACAATTGAACAAAAATGTTGTATAGCAAAGGAGAACCTTAACCAAACTTGAGCATACTAAAATAAGTATGAGTTATATTCAAATTATAATGATATTTATACTAATTTATTGGCTTAGAGTACTTGGAACTGGTTGCTGATAATCATTTTTAACTGTTTTAATAATTTATTAATTTAAATATATTTGATTATCAGTTTAATAAACAAAAAGTTCTCATCGGTTTCACTGTAAATAATAAATCTAGAAGAATCTTAAAACGTATACAAAACCAGATTTGTACAGGTATAGTTTTATATTATCAAACTGGTGTTTTTTTTATACAATTAGGTTTAAGTATTATTATATATTAGAGTCATCGATTCTGAAATAAAACCAAAAACACTATAGAAACGTTACAAGCCTTAACATTTGTACATTATGCTATTTAAAATAACATATTTATTAAAAATATAAAAAACGATTTTATTTGATGACATAATGTTAAAATAATATTGTTGGGTTTTAATTTTAAAAATTTCAAGCAGCGGTAATATATTAATAAATACTTTTTTAAGGCATTTAAGATAACTTAACAATGATCCTTTTAAAATGATAATTATCAACCGGATAATAATATCTGCGGCAAAAGAGTGACTACTTCACTACTCACTTTAATTAAATATTCCATTGATCGGGAGGTAATTAAAACAAATACGTCATAAAGAAATAAACAGCATCGCTTCCATTTATTCGCCGTAAAGTGTAATTGCGCGGTTGATTAATCATTAGAAAACACAAAAATATGGAAAAGTTTAACGCTTATATTGGAAAAATAACACTAATCAAAACGCCGACCGCTAAAAATAATATAATATTGCTGTCCGACTGATACAAGTCGCGCGGGTAAACAATAACGCGGTTGTTTCCTCCTTCTTACTTAAGTTATCAATTAATAGATAGAGACTGATAACATAATATCTATGGGTTATCATCTGCTATCACTTATCACCACCATAACCGAATAAACCGGCGAGTCTAGCTCTGAGCTTTATTAGATCATGACATCATGTTGCTGTTTGCCAAACAAACGCCCATTCTTGATACAGACTGTATCAATTTCAAACAGAAGTTCGTTTAGTAAAAAAATCTAGCCAAAAAAGTCTATATTTACAACGTGACCGATTTAGAAGGAATATGGTCAACACGGGAATATATAATAAATTATATATTATATCATATATGACCATTGATTATAAATATGTATAATCAATGATATGGCTAATTAGTTTATAATTATTTTCTTTATTTTTGCAAATTAATGTGATTTTACTAGATAGTAGATAGGGACATTCGGCCTTATGGTATTGGCATACCACGGGAATAACTACTAATCTACCACGAACTTCAGCGTACCTACCTATTACATAAAAATAACCTACATATTACATAAAAAAAATGTACTACATACTACCTTGTCTATTCTGTATAACGTATACTCTGTGGCAGGGCATCATTTTTTTAAACGAAATAATAATTACGTTCAATGTTCATTTTTGGTGTACATACTTACTTAAAATGGGTCACAACTCACAGGACTAATTGCAAAACAAGAAGTTTAAGTATTAAACTTGAAAGTTAACTATTATAACTAACAACGTATATAGGTACCTTGAAATAAAAAATGTACCAATACAATTTTAAATAACTATATTAACTTTAAAAAAACCAGTCAAAACTTTTTCTTTAATTTGTTTTTTTTTTTTGGTTGTATTTGGACGCGAGGCATAAAAATGAAAATTTGACTGAAAATAGATCTAATGTGTACCTATCAAGACACATACAAGTATAAAACATATTATAGGAAAAAACATAGATAATAAAAACTATTATTATCTATGAGAAACAATGAAAAGAACTTGTGATAACAAAATATATGTTGTTATTATGAATTTATGGACAAATTTGTTCGATATTATTAATTATACCTTATTACTTGGACAACATCGAAATTGGCACATGTGCTCCTGGTACACGTTGGTGTTTTGTAGATCCCGTAGGAACACTCGTGGGATGCACCGTCTGAATGTGTGTTATTCACAAACCGTTGGCATGAGACCCTGGTAGAATTGATACTATAAAACGGCGCAAAAGTGAGCTGATCCGCCGATGAAGTGCAAGCGGAATAAAGAAAACGTGGCAGAGCACAGTCGGACATTTTACAATATTTTTTTTTTCTTTGACTTATTTGAGTAGGTATTCAATTAGTAATTATTAAGTGAAAAAGTTTGTGTAATATACTAGTTACAGATCTGAGATCAATATTGTATACACTATATGTACATTTTATTATATTATAAACATATTATACCTTTTATTAATTGTTATAACAACTAACATTGATTAAATATAATATATTTATAACGATATGTTTATATTAAGTATTTATAATATATATATATAATATTGTATTACGTATAGTATTTATAATACCAATCAAATTTTCAGAAGTTTGCGTTAGTTAGGTGTGAATTCTATTTGTAGTTCACCTAGCAATTTTTCGATTCATTCGGAAAAAAACATGGAAATGTTAACCTTTTGAGCCCAACAGTGATAAAGAATAAATCGTTTAAATTCACTTAAATGCACTTTTAAAATTGTGCATTATTATTTCTATTGACTAAGCTATTGATTAATTAACATAAAGTAAACTGTATTAATATATGTTTTCTTTTTTTCAATTAGTCATTCTTATTTCTTATTCTTGAACTTATTTTACTAAAATCTTCGTGAAGCATCAATCGATACCAAATTTTCTGAGAATTAGGACATACCCGGTTAATAATTTATGGGTATTACGAAAATGATGATCGTGATTGTTATATTAAATAGTATATTAGCATAATCTTAGTAGCAATACTGAACATTATTTCACGGTCGTGAAAATATTTTCCCCAATGACTAATCTTTGGTATAGGTGGATTTTTTTTGTTTCACAAGTTGTTGTAATTTTTTTTTTGTATACAATTTCTAAATTATTTAATAGTCAATCGAGTCTAAGCCAAATTTGAATAGGGTACATAACCAGAATTGTCAAACACCCTGGCTTTTTTGAAAAACTCTAACCACTCGGGTACTTAGGGGGTTTTTCGTAATAAAATGGGTTTTATATTAAATACTACCTGGTCGGTTGAATCGGTTTTTATGGGGGAAAAACACATTCAAAACCGGTTTTTTTGAAAATAGATTTCAATAATTAATCATTTTTTTTTTTTTACTTTAATTTTTACTGAAACGTGACCTATAGTTTTGACTTTTGTGATTTATGTTGGGTATTTGTATAATTATTATTATTTTTATGCAATATTACCAGAGATGTTATTTTTGAATTAGCTAAATACAGAAAAACAGTCCTTTATCAAGTACTTACTTTTTTATATGATTAGTGGGATTTTACCTGAAAAAACAGCTCAGGTTTTTTTTTTTTAAAATAGAGTGAGTTTAGCCCCGAAAAACAGACCGGACTTTTTGGACTGGGCTCTTTTATGAAACCTTGCACATAACCGACTATACTTCAACCTAGCGGTGTTTTACGGTATTATGTCTAAAATCTATGTCTATAACTTCTTATGTATAGAATGCCAAATCATTTCCAAGCATAATATAATATCCTTAAAAAATCTGGGAAATACAACGACATGTTTCACGATTAGGCTTTGCGATCATCTTTGTCGAACACGACTTGGCCTTGCGTTGAACCATCTCTTTATTTATATAATTAATAATTATAAATAATTACACAGAAACATGGTAAAAAATTGCTCTTGCAAAACTAAAATGTACCTACTTATTCAAAAAAAAAAAATTGGTGCCAAATTATTGACTATTAACAATTTAACTATGATTCTGAATAAAAAAAAAGTTCTCCCTTTATTTTTTTAAAAAAACCCTCGACAGCAAAGACCAGTGTTTATTATTTTTCTGGATTTCACCATCAGTTATCTGCCAAAAATGGTACTAAAAAATAGATGAACTTTGAGCAATTATTAATAAAATTATACAAACTATTCAAGAAAACAATTTTTTTTAATATCTATTTTCGTCGAAGTTGTAATGGTTTATTAGCATAAACTAAATCTGTTTCTTAAAAAAACTTGTTATAGTTTTTTTTTTGACATCCGCTAAGTGTCATAATCATAAGCGATGACAAAAAAAAACTAAACTTCTTCAAACTCCTCTCCCAACTTCTAAAAATATTAAACGGTGTATAAATGTGTTCACTTGAGGTAAAATAATATTTATAACACCCTTAACAATAAAATATTACACTCTCCGCGTATAGGTACTTATTTCGGCAACTATGTTGTCATCTTCAGCGCTAACGACAGATTGATATTTTATGGTTAAGGGTGTTTTAAATAATATTTTATTATATATAACCATAGTTCATACATAAGTAAATAAGTAGCTCAAGCTTTTTCTAGATTCCCTTGAGGTATTTAATATTATACATAGGTGGTTATGCATCAATGATACTTTGAAATAATGTTCAAGCACCCCCCAATTGCGTCTCTGAAGTCTAATTATAATGCATAAACGCACTAGTGTTCCCATTTGCAGATTAGGGACAAGAATAGAAGTATTGAATAATTGTGGTTCTTAACTATTATCTTTAATTGCGATACACAGTAATACAGTATATAATATCTTAGTGTACCTACACATAACACGGTATTAACAGGTACGGTTGTGTGAATAGATTGTTGTTGTCGTAACTCGTAAGTATTTAAGAATTACTATTGTACTTAAACCTAGGTACCTAATATATTTAATAAATAACATAATTGTGACTAATATATGTAACCTTGTATTTTGATTCTCGAAACACTGCTGGAAAACCTGTAGTGAGATTAATGTATACATATTACATTGGCAAGTTGGCAGTGGACTATACAAATATATATACATATAATTTATGTATTTTTATATCTAGAGGCATTCGGCAACTGTAGTGGCGCATCGTTCTCAATTAAAAGTAGACAAATCAAATATTTATACTCAGTGTACAGTGTACTGTGTAGTGATGCACTACTCACTCGGACAGAGCTTGACGGCAGTATTTGTAATATAATAATGGAACAATTTTAATTAATTTAACAACTCAATCAAACGTACAATTTTTTTTTGTTAATTAATATAAAAATAGATATTACCTATATAACAAACAGTTTACACATATCATGTTTTTAATGGCTAAATTTATGAAACTGGTGGTGGTGCTCTTGGTTTTTGTAGTATTGTGTTTTTTCACTTCAGGATACGATGCTCATCAATTGGATTTATATGAAGGTACACCTCACCTAAATTGAACCGTTCAGTATTGAGTTTTTTATTAAAACATTTAATATTTAATAATTTTTATTTGAAACATACTCAGTTGATATACATTAGATATAAATATATCTAACAATTTTAATCTGTCATAAATTTACAGGAGATATATGCCTAAAAGGAGATGGTGATAGGTCGACCGACTCTGTATGCAAACGTCTCGAACACTGTGTTGTAGCCAAACAACAGATCAAACAACACATCATACCCAAGTTGTGTTCGTTCATCAAATCACAGCCAGTCGTATGTTGTCCACCTCAAAACAACGAGATCAGACCGCCAGAAAAACCTCCGGCCAACCAGCCCGAGATCAAATCATATTCTGCTGTCGAGAGTATATACATTATATTCTTCTTATTCTTATTGTTGATTAACTGTAGGTCTTTACATTTTTTTGGATTTGTAGAGTGCCATCAATACTCGGAACTCATTTACAGCTACATAAAGAATCCAACATTGGTATCACAATCGAACAACAAATATATTAAAGTGAAAAACTGTTACGACGTACAAACGTTAATTGTAGGGGGTACAAAAGCTGAACCCAAGGAATTTCCACACATGGCGTTGGTAGGATTTGGGAACACAATCGAGGAAGTCAGGTGGGCTTGCGGAGGTTCATTGATAAGTAACATTTGGATACTGTCGGCAGCACATTGTGAAAAAGGAAACAAGTATGTAATTGCAATTGGTTTATATGAAAATAATTTATACGGTTTTTAAAGGTTATTCGCGCGATGGGTCCGACTTGGCGATCTCAATATAGATACGGACACCGACAACGCCAGACCTAGCAATTATGAAATTGTGAAACGCGTGATACATCCAAACTATCAACCTCCTTCATTGTACAATGACATAGCGTTATTCCGTTTAAACAAAAATGTTGAATTTTCATCATACGTTCGGCCTCTTTGCCTTAATATAGACAGATCGTTGACACCTACCCGCGCAGTGGCTACTGGCTGGGGTCAAATTCAGAGCGGTCAGTACCATTTCGTTGTGTTAAACGAATATTTTTTTCACTGAAATACATAAACTGTATAATTTACTTAGAATAATCCACAGGCGGACCAACCAGTTCTGATCTACTAAAAGTAGTCTTAAATAATATACCGTCGAGTCAGTGCAACGTCAGTTATTCGTCTAGCGTCGGCCATCAATTGGCGTTTGGAATATTAGAAGAAAGTCAGATATGTGCAGGTCATGTAGACGGTGGAATAGACACTTGTGGGGTAAAATACATATTAAACTATAGGTTTGTTCATTTTTGTTTATGATATAATTGTTCACGGTGGTTTTGATAAATTTAGGGTGATTCTGGAGGTCCTATTCAAATAAAAAATACAAAATACCCGTGCATGTACACTCAAGTGGGAATTACTTCGTTTGGAAAGATTTGTGGCGATAAAGACGCACCTGGTGTTTATACTAAGGTGGCTAAATACATCTCGTGGATTGAAAAAATTGTATGGCCGAAAGATATTAATGCTACTGCAAAACATTAATATTTTATTTCACATTAAAAAAATAAAATTATATACTTATAATGTGTACGTACAAACTAAAAATGATCTACTTATATTTGTTTTATTGATATCTTTAAAAAAAAAAAAATATATATATATATATGTATATATATAACATGAATAATATATTTACCTAGAATGTTATTTTTGTATAATGAAATAAATATACATACTTAAACAGCAAAAATGTAAAACAAAAATGATCAAAACCATACTTTTTATAAGACTATTATAATATTTTATATTTTTTCACAATAAATTGTTTTAATCTGTTCTTTAAGTAGTTTTGTTATGTCGATTTTATTAAAAAATTGTTTGATATTACCTTATAGTCTAGCCAAGCAAATCAGTTTTGTATAAGACATACATATATTCAAGTACTTTAAAATAATGTCAAAGAAATTGGTTAAACATTATATACTTGATAGGTCCCCACTAGTAGAGAATACATAAACACTTCAAAGATAACTAGATTACAAATGCATTAAGCAATATCATTTATGTGAAATAGACAGTAGTAATAACTAATAAGTCTAACCTTTTTTACGGTAATGAATTTTTTTAGTTATCATGGGGTTTGCAAACAAACATATATTTACCCTAATTGTGATTTTAATAACTTTGTCGTTCTTTACAAATAATTATTTAAAATACTATGATGATGGAAAACAAATACACCAGTGAGTTTTTTTAAAATTTTTAAACAAATAGTATCATTCATTGGGTGTTCTTCGGATAAATACTGTGTGTATTCACCTTCTACTTTAATATGTATGGTTGTACTCGTACATAGAAAATTAGGAGGTGAGAATACACAGCATATACTCTTTACAGATTACACTAAAGATTTTAGAAAATGTATTGTTAATTTTTATACTTCACTAATTTGATTAAAATGTTTTCAAGTCTTTAGAAATGTTTTACATTCTTTTAAATTTTATAGGTTAATAGTCAAAGAGACGTCAATACCAAAAAACCGTATATTTTTTTTGAAAACCCACAAATGTGCAAGCTCTACTATTCAAAATATTTTATTACGCTTTGGACATCAACGTAACCTTGACATATTGTTACCTTCTAAGCATAATTATATCGGTAATCCCAAACCCTTTCAAATTGATATGGTTTCAAAGGATTTTCTAACAACTGACGGCAAGTACGATTTATTTGTCCATCACACCAGGTATTCTCAACATGTTAAATCTGTAATGAGACCAAATACAATGTTTGTTACAATATTACGCGAGCCGTCTACATTATTTGAGTCAATTTATTCATTTTATCATTTCGATAAGAAATACCATGTAAATTTATCTAATGTGATAGGAGATCCTTCAATCTTAATGAATTCTACACGCTACGGTCATAAATTAGGAATAAACCAAATGAACTGGGATCTGGGCATGAATCCTGAACACTTTGAAAATGTCGAAATGATAAACAATTATATTGAAATGGTGGACAGAGATTTTGATTTGATAATGTTGTTTGAACATATGGAAGCTTCCCTGGTTTTATTGGCCCATTTAATGCAGTGGCCGTTGGAGTGGGTAGCGTACATACCTTTGAACACTAGAAATAAAATTTTTAAAAAAAAATTAACGGAATTTGATAGAGTAAGACTTAACCAAATCAACAAGGCCGATTACATGCTATACAACCATTTCAAAGATAAATTCAAAACAAAGATCAAAGAGTACGGAGTGGATAAAATGAAGAAGCACATTGGAGAGCTGATTGGTATAAATCAAGGAATAATGGATCGATGTGTGTTGGCCAAGACTGATAAAGGCTATGGTCGAACAATATCATATGAACTGAAAAACAACGATACGTTTTGTCAATATTATGTTATTCTCGAATTAAAGTATACATCGTTACTCAGGTCTATACAGTATAATCGACTGAATAAAATTGAAGCTCTAGAAAAATTATTAAACGAAAGTTAAATACAAACAATAAAACAAATTTACAAAAAATGTTTCATAAATTATTATAATTATAATTACTAATATTTTTCACGACAGTACATTTGCATTACTTGTTTAGACACTTCAGGTATTCAAGAAAAATATTTCATGATGAAATAAAATGTAAATAATTAATCCATTATAAGATCGCTGTAAGCCAAATCCCAATAATGTTCTACTCCGTGCTTTTTCAGCTGTTCTCGAGCCAGTTTCTCAGAAGCACAAACCTTAAATTTGATTTCTCCGAAATTGCGTTGCTTTGACATGCCCTGAAAATGTTTCAAAACATTACCATATATTTGAATTCTTATTAATTAAATTTCAGTGAAAAGTAAACGTGTCAAAAAAAGGTAAAAGGCGTAAGGGATTTTTTTTTTGTTAAATAGACTTAATTGAGAAAGTGATAAAACATTTCTAAAAATATCATGTTTTTCAAAACAAGGCATTAAAATTTTGAAGTATTGCTTAAACCATTTCTATTTTGGCTCTTTAAATTTTTTTAAGAAGTGAGGTGTCTTTTTGTAGTATTATTGTCTATGTACTAGCCACTAGGATTGTAGGGTGGATGTAGCACAGTCGTCAAGCAGCTGGCTACAGCATATATGGTTATCAGTTCAATTCCAGGCACGGCACAAAAATGTCTTGCAGTATTTCGAAACTATAAGTGCCATCATCTGATTGCACTACACCATTTCACCCCACTACTCCACTGGGAGTGACGTCCACACACGTGTCTCCTAACTTAATGGAAATTGTTCGTACACTACTACCAAAACCAAATGAAAAGTGTTCCTAAAGACCATAGTCGTCGCAACAAATTAGTCTTCAGAATCGAGGCCATCGAAAAGAAAATATATATATACTATGATTGTCTATATTTTTATTATTTATATTAATTAGAGATAGATAATCAATAGTAATTATTACTATTATTTTTTTTAATTACCTCCCATACTAATGAACATTTGTTATTAGATTTAGGTTCCAACTCGTCTTTTGTTTTTATAACATCTTCTTCCCACTTCATTCTGTGCAACATCAATCTAAACAAATTTTTTAAATTGTTTTGTTAAAAAATAAAACGTAAGACTGTTAGTTAATAAATATAAATAATTCACTTCTATTATTCTAATAATTTACCTTTTGTACTTTTTTTGCTGTTTTGGACCACCTTCTACAATAACAACATTACAATCTTTGCACATAATGACACATCCAGTCATGAATAACTGTTTACAATTTGTTTCTATTTTATACTTCTTAGAAGGATTTGTTAAATTATTAATTCTAAAAAAAAAAAAAAAAAATGAAAATACAATAGATTTTATTATAACACAAACAAAAATTACCTATAAATTGCAACATTAACTCCGAGACTGGTGTCTTCTTGAATTTTTCTTATTTTCTTCTCCCGTCTTTGTTCTGGGTTTAATCTCCGAGAAGCGTTAGCTTCTTCGTGGGCTTTTTGTCTTTTAGCCATTTGAGCTCTAACATGCGATTCCATTTTTGTTGGATCTTGAACAGCCTCTGTCCCTAATACTCTCATCAAGTTTGATATACGAAGCTGAAGATAAGATTCGTTGGTAAGTACACTTTAAGTTAACCTAAAAACTCACATCAAACATACTTTAGGTTCAGCTGGAGGTTCTAGACCAAGACGTATTTTCTCCTGTTCTTCTTTCCATGTTTCACGTCGATTTTGTCGACGCAATTTCTTTCTTTCCTTCTTGGTTAAAAATACGGGCATGAAAACTGGTTTTAATGGATCACCTGTTTTCCAGAAAATAAGTTATTGTTTTGAATTGAAAAAGTTTAAAAATGGTCCTTACTTGGCGGTCTCATTTGTAATGGATGCTCTACCAAATGAGATATATTACTACGTTTAATTTGAACTTCGCCAGTTTCACTCAAATACCTAACAAACATTTTTTTTTTTAATTTTAATAAAAATTACATAAGTATTAAATTATAATAAAATATCTTACGACGAGCCATCTAAAATAACACTATCCCACCATTCTACATCGGGGCAGTGTTCAGTTAATTGTTCTTCTTTAGGCACGAGCAAAGCCATTTTCGTCACTGATGATATTCCAGTCTTCCGAGCAATTTGTGATATTTCATTTTGCAATTTTTCTAATTGAGCCTGAAAATGTAGTCAATTTATTAATTTTTTTTAGAAATAAAAATAAAAACCATAAGAAGCAAGGTAAGTAACATACCTTCATTCTAAGTCTATCGGCAATTTGTTGAAACTTTCCTGGTTCGTGGAATTTTAATGACCGCTTTGTACGAATATTAGTTTTCATAGTTAAACGAGGATCAAAAAATTTTACTTCTGAAGAATCTTCAGTCGATTTTTCACTAAATGTTTGTTTAAATTCTTCCCGTTTTTTGGCTCTTATGTTCGCTTTTAATGTTGGTATGACCTGAGTCAATTGTACTTCCTTACCAGTTATGTCTATTGTACGACCTTCACTATCAAGAATAAGGGGAGTTGGTTTTTCTGCCGATGAGTTTAGAGTCTTGGGCACACTCGGAACAGTTTTTATCAAACCACTAGCCAATTTTTTTTGTATTTGTGCCTAAAAAAACCAAAATTCATAAATGAATTAAAGTTATTCAAAGTCAAATTTACCTGTAGTTGAGCAATTTTTGCTTGCTTTTCGAAATCCGTCGTTAATTGAGGCTTTTTGTCTTTATTATTAGAAGACTTTGGAGCACTTGTTATCGCTAATGCTTTTTTGCGTTCTTCAATCATTTTTTGTGCGTTTACCATCATATCTTTAATCTAGTAAACAGACATACAGTAATTAATACTTGAAAGATAGTGGCTTAATATACAATTTTTTGCTTGAAAAAGTTCTAAAAAATACTAGTGAATTAAGCCCACTTTTTTTAACCAAAATAAACAATGTACAAACTACCACATGCAACTAATGTTAACTTCTGAGATGTTACGTTACATATGCTGATTTACTTTTGAAAACACAAAATCGCCAAATACCACACAACACCTTTTTGAATGCAATAAATATGTTTTAATTTATATTAAAAAGAAAAAACAAACAAACCTGTCCAGTAGAAAGTGCTTCCTCTTTGATAGTTGTTAAATCTTCTTTTTTTATACGTTTAATATTATTTTCTTCATATTCAGTTTTTATAGGTCTCTTGTTTGTTATAGGAATGTTATTGTTTTTCATAGTCATTCCTTTGGCTAAATCGAACGCTTTATCGGTTAGCGACGCAGCTTTGCCAGGATCTAATATCGATGACCTCAGCTTATCTAAGAAAAAAAAATTATAACAATGAAAGATGCTACAAACACGTAGGCTCGTATAATTTTACCAGCTGTTTTGTATTTATCGTAACCCGAAGTAAAGCAATGCATAAGTGTTGTAACAATGGAAGGTTCTCGAAACCCAAGAAACTTGGTGACAGTCTTTTCTAAGTACGGCTTGATATCTTCTACTTCCTTTTTACTGATTTCAAGAGCCATGTTTCCTATTAAAATGTGTAATGCTATACTAATCAAGCACCAACACACATAAATAAATCACTAAAATAAACACTTTTAACAAAAAATACTGAAAAATTAAGTACACTGAACGACAACTGAAACGTTTAAAAGCGTTAAACTTGTGGTCGAACGCTTATCTAGGACTAATACTATCTAACGCCGAATCAGTGTAACCAACATAATATAATGTACTTCTGGAAATGTTTTCAGTAAGTATACATACATCATTGAGTTCAAAATATATTTACTCTATAGTATAGGTACACTATAAATCATAGACCAATGATTAGGATCTAAGGTTATAAATAAATAATTATGTACAATAATTGACTTCCCAATAAAATATTTCTATGTTCGCTGTAATTAAAATTTAAATCCTAATTATTACAATAATTTGTGCTACAAATGTTGACAATTTTTTTTTGTTAAATACTCAAATGATAATACCTATATAGTACTACAATCATTGATTATAAATATTTTAGATGACCCACCGTGACAAATTTCAGTTCTGTACTTCGACATGGGACGGCCGCTAGTACCTAGTATCGTTTTCAAAAAGATATAAAGATACTACTAGAGCCCCCCTCCCGTTACGCCTATGGTTGACTCCATACTTTCAGTTGACAATGTCTGTCCCAGCCAATTATGACATTACATAGATTTGTCTACTTTCAAAAAAAAAGTTGTTTTATTTTTTGTGAAGTACTACAAAAGTTTTTATTAAAAATTTCAGTAAATTTTGTTTTGTATAATTTACCTAATTTTAAGCTTGAACATTACGCGAGTCCCTATTAAAAAATCTATATTTAAAAAAGACGGGATCGTAATTATACATTCTCATTTTTACACTTGGTTTACATAATTATTTTTATTTGCACACCTTATTGATAATCACCTTTTCTATAATATTATAAATGATAATATTTCTAATCACGGCCTTAGAAGATCTTCTAAGACCGTGTATCTAGAACTGAATATTCTATTATTGAAGCCTTATACTAATAAGCGAAGCATGCATGTAGTTCCAGCGGGCCAGAGTAATCACTTTTCTATGGTAAAGGCAATGTTTGTCTTAATCTGGTGATCTTTGCACTTACGGGATTCAAATTATCAATTTGGTAGTTCATGATTATTACATGATACATACATAGAGATAAATATACAACGATAGCAGTAATTTTTTATGATCTATGTAATTACGTATGGCCGTTTATGAAGGCAAATAGTATAGTAAGAATATTTCTATAATCCCTCTATGGGAAAGTGTTTTAAATTGTAATTATATTTCATCAATCAATTATAATAAAATAATTCTACGTAAATTAAATATTTTTATCAGTTTACATTTTTTGCATTTTATATTTTTTTAATACGTCTATCAAGTGCTTTATCAATTTTTATTAGTGTATATTTCAATGTGAAATAGAGCCAAAAGTCTTTCATGATGAAATTTTTGGGATTTTAGAGGACACGCCATAACTACTATTTAAGGCATTCGGTATAGGCGATTTTTTGCAAAAAATTATTTTGTATATTGAGCACCTCCTTTCGACCTTACCTTTTTTTTGCTATATTGCAAAGTTTTATAATATATATATATATATATATATATATATATATACATGTTATGTACCTACAGCTCGTTTTGTTTACAATGGATAGCGAAAAACTTTATCAAAAGTATAGCGTTTTTAGTTTTTTGATAACCTAAACACGATCAAAATTATTCATTCGTAAAAAAATTAAAACGCTACGGAATAGATAAAGTAAACGTAAAAGCTATTTCCTGAATAATGTAAATTATAATTAACAATTTTCAATTTTAATCGAAAATAAAATGTCAAAATATATTTTACAAAGAGATCCACACATCAATTCATCTTCTTCTTCCCTATCTTGGCTCTCAACTACATGGGGTCGGCCACCCTAGTCTTACACCATCAATTATTAACTTAAACCTAGAGATGAGCAAAATGGACTTACAATTGAATTACGGATTACTCGTAATCCAGGATTAATAAAACAATTGTACTACATTTATTCTAGTAATCCCGAGTTGTTGGATTACGAATTTTTTTGTACTCCAGTAATCAGCATTATGAATTCATACTGGGTTGGATTAGTTATATTCCAATACGTTCCAAAACGTTTCATTAAAATAAAAACATTAATTTTAGTTAAAACAAAAATGTACTTAGTTTTTCACTTTGATGAAGTATTGTTGTTACAAAAACGTGTTTCAATTTTTCTTTTGTGTCTAGATCAGTAAGTCTACAGACCATAAATCGTACCGGGAAGGTACTATATAGGGTCAATAATTTAGTCCTATCCCCTCTTCTTATATCAATAATCTATATATTATTTTTCTATTATCTGTATTATAATTGTTTTTTGTTAAGGAAAACCACTAAAAAAAGAAGAATATAAATCCAAGACCATCAGCTGATACTAATGGTATAATGTGTTATCCGGTCGACGCCACAGCAGCTGTTCCGAGCGTTCGGGTTGCTTACATATTATTACATCAAAAGCAAAATAGCAATGTGTTACAAATATAATAATATTACAATAATGTCGAATGTTAAATGACGTTACGCACATTTTTGGGTGTAAAACAATTTATATGATTATTTAGACATTTACTATAACGATTTACAATATTGCACCTTATACAAGGTGGATCAATCCACCTTGACTATATTAATGTTTTATAATATACGACGAGTTATGTGTATTGCTTTGGTTCGATTGCGATACTGATAAGTCTCGAGTGATACTATATCGTATTGGATTCCGAAATAATTACACGGAGCGCCTTCGACGTTGTCAATGTTTGTTCAAAGTGTGATAACATCAAACACAATATTATCATTATCATGAATAGGAACTGACGGAACTCCGCCTCCAGCCGTCGGTGGTAGGGCGGTCGTGTCGAAACTTTCCGTCACATTATCGGTGTCCGTGCACGACCGAGTGGCGAGTGTCCGTCCATAGTGCGTCGCCGTGCGCGATATCTGTGCGTTTTTCGGTCGTTTTATTGTTATTTTTTTTTTGTTGCTTTTTTTACCGTTCAAAAACACCAGATTTTACCTGATAACGCTCGCGATAACGAGCGAACGATACAAACAGGAAAAATACCAACAACCCATCCTTGTGTTGTGCGGCCAAGAGATATCAAATCCAGCCTGCATAATTAATAATCGTTCGGTGTTTAGTCTGTTTATCCGTGATCGACGTGTAGTCGTTCCTCGTCGTACATTGGAAAAAACAAAAAAAAAGACGTTCGGTTTACAGTTTGCGATTGTTGTTTTCGGCCGAGTTGTGTTTTTTTATATTTGTAACTTTTAAGAAATCGTGTACTTATTTCGCCAAACTTATATTAATTATTGCAAACGGATTACGTCGGTGCGCGTGAGTTTCGCGTTAGTCTTATGTTGTTTATCGTGTGTGTACTTATTCGATTCTGTGTTCTGTGTACGCGTGTGAAAGTCTGCCGTGATTTTCAGGCATAATAAGTAGTAAACGGCACAGGAGTTACGGTGGCCGACCATCATGGAGAAAAAACCAAAAGAGAAACGAAGGTAAACGTAGGACATAATATCTACTATTAATTATTATTATTATTTTCGTTCAATTTTTCTACGACGTACTCGTCTGAAAATCGGTAAATCTATTGACCGGATCGTTTTCGAAAAACCCATATCACCTCCATGATATTACGAGAGAGATATTATTTCATGAGGGATATTATTTGCATAATATCTCTCTCTCTCCTTTTGCCTCTGTGTTTCGTGGTCTATTGTATTGAGGTCAACACATTGGTCCAATTAGACATTTTAAAATTATTTTATTACATATGATATACACCACATACCAATTACCTGCCTACTTATTTAGACACGTTGAGGTTATTAGATAATCTTTTGTACAACATTGGTGGTACAGCTGGTTTGTTCGTTAACTGCACCTATCAATGCTTTGAGATTGCCATAAACAATGTCAATACTGCTGTGTTTATTTCAAAAACTTTAATCAACTTAAATTTCTTCGATTAATAAGTAAGGTTTATTTGTTAAAAACACGATCTTACTTTCAAATTGCACCACCATCAAAATAGTTGTATAGCACTAGGGGAATAAAAGAGTTAATAATTATATGTTATATTCGAGAGGTCGTTGTACTCTGTGGTTTATCATGTATAATTTAGTAAAAAGCCACCCAATAAAAAACATTTGTTATTGACCTAATGGTATTATGCTAGGTTACCTAAATGTTAATGAAAAACATACACATATGTATTGTGTGTTCTTGTTTCCCAAACGCACAGGACATGGAAGGTCATATTGTAAAATTGAAAAATCTTATCATTAGAATAATATTTGATTAAAAAAATAATGTGAATAATTAAATTTCACAATATCCATTTCCAAAGTTTGTTTGAAATTAGTTTTAACTATTTAAATATTTTAAATGTTTGCTATAATTTTAGGAATACCTAGCTACGCATAGATATGTTTCTTTTTATCTCTAATGTTATCTAGTATGTTCAATAATTTTTAGTGGTTTGGTTGGGTTCTTTATCAATATTGATTTAATCTGTAAATCTACAATTGTTAGCTATCATTGTATGCTTATTTATTTACCAAAATGTAATGGCTTATACAGTTATTTAACACACCAAAAACTTAAGACTAATACATTTGGTTTGTTTCCATAAGAATCCGGTAGTATACAGCTTGTTTCAATGGTATGACAAACTCAAAGTTATAGAGAAGTAGATCTAACTTTTTTCTACCAAACACCCACCCACTCCCTATACTTCTATACTGGCATCTAAAAATCTCAAGAACCAATAGTCTCTAAAATTATTGTACATTACTCTACTGGCTCATTCAAAAAGTTGGTAATTATTGTGCAGTCAACTTAGATTTTTATCCTACCTTGTGTTTGTCGTGATATGTATTAGCACAAATAAAAATAAATTATCTTAGTAGGCAGTATTCTCCAAGAATTATAGATTTCATACTTTATACTTATATGTAGGTATGTCTTTTTGACCTTCAGCAATTTTTGTTTTCAAATATATTGCCTATTTTTAATAAAATTTTGTTTTATAGTAATTTCTAAGCCCAATAGTTTTAAAATGTTTAGTAATTATCAGCTGTAACACAGTTTGTGAAAATTTTAAATATCAAACATGCTTATATCTAGTTCAACTGTAGGTAAAATATGACTTGGTTTTAAGTACGTTAAATTCTAAACATTCTTTTTTTTATATTGTGGCAAAATCATTACTTAGTGATAAGAATGGACAATTTTAGTTATGAAAAAACCTTTTTTTGAATAATTTCAAGTATTGCACTACACATTTTACAACAGACTGTTGTGACACATGATATAAACGCTTCATCATCTTTGTGATTAACTTTTTAAATAACATGTTTTGTGCTTCTAAGCTTTTTATTCATTGTTCATAATATGGTTTAAGAATAATTGTAAAATAATCTTTAATTCTTCTTTTTCAAGTATAGTTGATTTTTTAAATAGATGACTGTTATGTAATATACATATATTCCACTTATATTAAAATTATCTTCTTATACTTATCTTTTGAATACAATTTATGTTGTTTGTAATAAAGATGTACTTGAAATCATTATAGAGATATTTTACTTTCCTAGGTAAAAGCTTTTAATCGTATCATTTATTAATATGGTACATTAGTTTAACCTTGTGTTTGTTGAATACAATTGTACCTTATCCTAGGCATAGTTCATTTTGTTAATGACAGTAATTCTCAGCAACTATTACCATCGTAGTCATATTATATTACAATAATATACTGCATTGGTAATGCATATAAACTCTATAAAACAAGATATACATTTTCAAGTTTCTAAATCTTTCTTTTGAAGAAACTTTCATACTACATGTATTTCTAAACTTATTATTATTTATGTAAATCTGCTATAAAAAAGTAAAGTACTCTAAAAATAATGTTGTAAAATTAGTTATGTATTGGTCATTAATTTTAAGCAAATATTATTTGTATATAACTTCCTGATCTCCATTATAAAGAATTTTCAACAGTGTATGATTTAAATTATAACAGATGTTAATGAATAGATAATTTTTTAATACTAATAATATAATATAATATTTTTTTAGGTATGAAGTTAAAGTACCATTACCTTTAGGCTATACAATAATGAATAATAATAAATATAATTCAGAAATCTTTTTATCATAATGTAGTTAAATATTTTATGACTTTGTTCATATTATGTATCCTCGTTGCTCTAAAAAAACATGTAAATATTCAATAGTCATTACAAAGTGTAGGTATTTAAAACTAACATTTAATTTATTTTGATTAAAGTATCAGCTCATTTGGTTGACATAATTGTATTTGCTCTTTTAATAAAATTATTTATCCCTCATTAATTTCTTAATTGAGAATTCAATTTTGAGAGGTACAACTTTTTTCCTTATTTAGAGGTATTGAAATGTCTAAAATTTTATTTTTACACAAACGAGATTAAAAATTGCAAGAGAGATTTTGTCCTTCCATTTTAATTAATAACCTTGTTTATAACAAAAATTAGCATTGCTCGATTCAATTTTAACATGCTACACAAAATGAGGAGTTAAAATTTTCGAATATAATTTTGCAATTTAATATTTATAAATTATGTTTTTAAAATGTTAGAAAAATAATGGGTTTGAAAAGTACTTGGTGGGCTTTATTACTATTTTATTTTTATTATTTCATCATCATCATGTAACTAAATAGAGCATGGGATGGTTTCTTGACAAATTCATCACTTCATCGCCATAGAGAGGAATAACACTCTTTTTCACTAGTCAGTTTCTCACCAAGCAACCAGTATCACTTGTCCCAAAGATAGATCTATGTTTTTGTAAATTTTTAGGCCTCCTTCACCTAAATCAAATAGAGCATTTGTGTGTATGGGACACTTAACATCTCTTTTGCACTGTCACAAGAACTTTGGTACTAATATTGAATAAGTGTATACTTTTATTCTATTTCCTAAAGTTTAATTTGAGGACACTTACACAAGCTAAAGATTCTTAGTTTTGAAATTGTTTGTGTTTCAGTTGTATGGAGAGACAATAATTTTGTAAATATACCTCCTTTTTTACGGCGAAAATTGTGCCTCTTTACCTTTTTTCTATATTATGCTGTACACATCCATATCTTGCAAATATTATAATATTAAATAAAATATTTTTTTTTTTACAATAGTAGATATGCAATTTAAAATTAATAATTTCATAGTATAGCATGAACTTATATTAACTTAAATGATGTAGTATATCAATCAACGACCGACAAGTGTAGTTTTAGATCTTATTTCTGAGTAATAACATGTCGTAATTTGTAGTACAACTATACTCTTATAGTCAGGGACCTCTGTCCTTTTGAATTTCTAGTGAGTTTTTCAACATTGTCTAAAATTTATCAACAATTACATTTTAGTGTTAAATGTTGCAAAAATGTGTAAAAAAAAAAATTAATAATTTCTATGACATACAGTTTTGTCACATTAGTGTTGTATTTGCGATATACTCATTAGTTAAACTAGTTATATTTTTAACTGACCAGGTGAAGGTGCATGGAATGTTGAACATATTTCTGCCTTAAGCTAAGCAATTAAGCAAGCTAACGTCATCAGGGAAACAATGTAAGCTAGAAAATACCATTGACTACTAATTAATAAAATAATTAGGCTAATAGAGGCTTTTGCTCTGGTTAGTTTTAGAATTACATTATTGTAGACACCACTAAAACAATAGACAGCTTAACCTTAGCAACTTTGATTGTAAGTTATTACAAATCTGTACCTATGTTGTGTGTGTTACTTATCAATTTCATTTGTATTTAAAATATAATTCTATTTAGCTATGATATTTTTTTATTCAGCATAATAACATTTTTGATTAAAGACTGGAACTATATTTTTGAAATATGCAACATAGTTTTTGTCGGCTTAGTAGCAAGGTTGCAACCAGCTGGTTAGAGTAGGCGATGTAATAACCATCTAAATAACCAATAATAAACATACAGTTTATACACATTTGACTGTTGAGTAAATAAAATATCCCTTAAAATATTATCTTTAAATTTATTGAGGGGGTGGGTAGGCTGCACTTTGTTGATTTTGGGGGTTGGTACAAATTTTTTTATGTTAACAGTAGGTATGATGTGAATTTGGTGCATTATGAATATTTCATAATTTGTATTTAATTTCAAAAATCTTAATATGTAAACATTTTTCTAAAAAAATCGATGGCTTAATTTTTTATTAAAAGTTGCAAGTGCAAGTTTGATGATGAAAATGAGCACTTGGAATCATTAGTATGTTGCGAAACACACTGTGTTTATTAATTCCGTACGTAATTTTAACAATAAACACAATTTCTACAATTGGTAGTATGTAATTAAAATTACTTAAAAAATATTGAAGTATATTTGCATTAGCATACAATTGGTATATTGTAACGTTTATTTTGTTTTTTAAACGTTTCGACTTAAAAAGTAATAATATATGGCTTTACC